GTGTGTGTGTGTGTGTGTGTGTGTGTGTGTGTGTGTGTGTGTGTGTGTGTGTGTACAAAAAACCCAAACTAGTTGGGATTAAGGTCGAAATGGGTGAAAAAAAAGTAGTAGATGTTACCTTCTCACTCGGTAATGATTTTAAACTGTTTGGTTTTTTTTTATTGATTTGTTTCTGATACTGTTATATTGATCTACATTGTTAAGGATCTATAAAAACCTACATCTTCTGATCTTCGAAACGTTTTATTGTGATCATGTGATAAGTGCCTGGAGAAATGTTACGCTGTGCATTAAGTTTGGGAGCAACCATGTAGTAACTGGCTATTCACCATCATTGGAGAAACCTGAAGAAATACGCTCTGCAGTAAGTTTGGAAATAAATGAGTGAATACCTTAATATGTGAGATAACCCATAAATGAGTCAATACCTTAATATGTGAGATAACCCATAAATGAGTCAATACCTTAATATGTGAGATAACCCAAAAGCACATATTCTGTTACGAGATTGGGGTCAAATACAGTTTACTGGTGTTCGATGAGATATTGTCTATCAGTTCGAAAATAGGTTTAGCTCCAGGTAATATTTACTTGACTCGTCGTTACTCGAGGTTCAGAGCTAGTACAGAAATGAATGGCTGGGACGTGACTTTTAATCCGAGGATTCATGGTTTTTGTCCAGTTACCACAAACACGAGCTCTCCAATACAATAGTAGCCCAAGACTTGGCGGTAGATAATGGCTACTAGCTAGCTGCCTTTCCTTTAGTCTCTCAGTCCAAAATTAGGGACGGCTATGCGCAGATAGCTCTTTCAGTGGTTTATTTTATTTATTTATTTATTTTTTTTTGCGTGACAAATTTGGAACAAACACGGAAGAAAAATATAAACGTAGCATTGTGGAACCATTTTATAAACCCACCGACTTATTTTGTTTCACAAGATACTTATCAACACACCCACCCACCCCCAAACTGACTAAAAGCTAATTACATAATATCATCTTTGTAGATACATTACTGTCAAGTTTGTTTGTGAGGTAATTTTATACTGAAATGTTTGTTTGTTTTTAATTATGCCCAAAGCTACACAAGGGCTATCTGTGCTCTGCCCACCACGGGTATCGAAACTCGGTTTCTAGCATTGAAAGTCCGCAGATATACCGATGTGCCACTGGGGGGGGTGTGTGTTTGTAATTATGCACAAAGCTACACAAGGGCTATCTGTGCTCTGCCCACCACGGGTATCGAAACTCGGTTTCTAGCGTTGTAAGTCCGCAGACAGATTAATAAGATCATCAAGTAAAGTGATTACCATGCCCACAAAGTTTCTATGAAATTACGTTAGGTTTGATTGGTTGCTACTCTGTTATCACAAATCATTTGCATCATTCAAACCTCGTTGTTCAATAGCATTACGAAAAAGTGTACCCTAAATTTTTAGTAGTCTCTGAAAGTCCAAAATTATTTGCACCTAACATAATTTTCCATTTCGATGCTTTCCGATTTTTGTTTTGGTTGAATCCGATGGGGCATGGTTCGCGTCCCATAGTTGTAAAGTCGCGCTCTGCACTCTGGAAACGTGAGCGCGTTAAAAAGTGAAGACCAAATCCAACTATTCGGTTTGAGTAGCCCAAGAGTTGGCGGTGGGTGCTATTCACTAACTGCCTTCCTTCTAGTTTAGGGATGACTAGTGATAATACAAACAAACTTTTTGAGGCAGAAAGCGTAATCCTTGATTTAAGATACGAGGAAATTAGGTTTTATGCACACTCAATTATGTCATTGAGTTGTAGAGTGATGTGTCAATTGCTTTATTCTATTCATTGCCTCAAGGTGTTTGTAGCACATCAGTGAGATTTGTTTGTAATTAAGCCCAAAACTACACAATGGGCACGGCGGTATGTCTACTGACTTACAACGCTAGAAATCGGGTTTCGATACTCGTGGAGGGCAGAGCACAGATAGCCCATTGTGTAGCTTTGCGCTTAATTACAAACAAACAAACTATATGCCAAGAGAGACATACCGTTGTGCCACTGGGGGGGGGGGGGGGTCAGCAGTAAGTCTGTATGCTTATAACTCTAAAAACTGGGTTTCTATACCCGTGCTGGGCACAGCACAGATAGCCCAATGTGTTACTTTGCGCTTAACAACTAACAAACAGACTAATAATGGTTGGAGACGGTTTGAATGGGTAATGAAGAAAACTTTAATATAAGTTCAACATCAGGTGATGATGACAAAACCTTGTACATTTGCTGTTATGTTAAACTTGTATTAAAGTTTTTCTTCATTACCCATTCAAGCCATCTCCAAGCATTATTAGTCTGAAAGTGGGTTCCTCGTCATCGAATTTGAAAACAAACAAACTTATGAAATTCAGTACGTTACGTACCACTCTCATGATTGTCCTATTTTTATATGATGTTGGTGCAATCGCTAATTCTTAAATATCTTAATAATATAATTGTTTAATACTAAAATACTTAAGTTTTCTTCCTCACCTTTTCCATAGTCTCAATTTTTATTCTCTTTGGAAGTGGCGCGGTTTTTGGTCCGTCGCCTTCAGACGGGTTTTGGGCGTTTTTCAAGGATACCATAGGGTTCTTAGAGTTCTCTAACTTGACGGTAGGACAAGCAAAACAGGGCGCCCCCATTACTGAACTAACACTACTGACACCGCTTATCGAACTTGCCACGCTGGTTGTGTTCGTCAGTGTCAAAACAGAAGTGGCCACTCCTTGATTTACACTTGGCGCAGATGCAGTTGGAAAGTTTACGCCAGTGCCTGAAGCTTGAACGGCTAAACTTGAAAGATTACTTACGACACCGTTAATTTCATTAGCTTTATTGTTCTTCTCTTTCTCTCGCGGTCTCTCCTTTTTCTCCCTGTGAATTCCACTTCTTACCTTCCCTATGTTGTGTTTGGATTTAGTATCTGGTGCAACTCCAGGGGAATTTATGTCTTCCTCCAGGGTGTTATCTACCAGCGAGTGGGATTTTGTGTCTGACTGAACGATCTCGTGTTTTGCTTCAGATGATTTGCTTCCCACGTTTTTTCTCTTAATTTTCATTTTCAAGCCTTTGTCTACGGTAGCCTGATGTTCAGCCCCTGTAGCAGAGTTCTTGACGATATTCAGGCTTTCACCTGCGCTTGTTGAAACTGATGAATCTCCGGCTTTAACTAAAGGAACGTTCATTCGTGACGTTTTGCTGTTGGACATGCCGCCACTAGGTGGAGACCGAGCACTAGTTAAAGTCAATGCCCCAGTGCCATCTGTGGCTCCATACACAATGTTACTGTTACAGTTATTCTTTTCAATGTCAGCGTCCAAGTCTATGATCAGTTCTCCGATTCCTAATTCCCACTCGTTATAATCATCATCAAAATTGGTTGCAGCAGTGGTACCAGTAGTGGAAGTCTTAATGTCACCTGGAACTTCTTTTGTAGGAGCAGACTTGAGGTCAACCGCCGCCACCGTCTGTCGGTGGTTGTCCAGTAGCTGATCTTTCATTGGCCACAACTCTCTGAAGACATCACACCTCCGCTAGTTGATTCGATGAAGAACAATTTCCTTTGATGACATCATAATTGGATAAAATAGAATCTGTAAGTACCGACATGAATATCAAACTTTTGAAGAGAGGAAAAAAACACCTTTAAAATGTTTAAAAGAACAAATGAGACTAGAAGATTCACTTTATCGTTTAAAAGAACACTTGTTTTTATTGAACAAATGAAACTAGAAGATTCACTTTATCGTTTAA